AAAATGAGTGCGTAACATTTAAATGAACGTATATTGTAGGTAATAAATTGTATAAGGAAAATGTTAGGGGTGCAATTCAACTAATCCGCACCGCTTGTTATTATTTTACTCGACTCCACTGGATTTATATGAATGTTTTTTTATGCACTTTAATAGAGGAGTTCTAACCATAAATGTAAAAAGTGTCTTAAAATAAGCTCGAGAAAAAAATTAACTGAAAGGTTTCATTCAAAAGAACATACCTGTTACAAAAAAGAACACACCTGAACAGTACTTCGGAAAATCAAAAACAAAAGCAAAATAGTTAATAACAATAAGTCTGGCACTCGAATGTGATATCGGTCAAACGGGCAGTAAACCCACAAGATTTGTAATAAACTAATGGTATTTATTTAGTCTCATAAACTTACTCCATAATGATCTTATACAATGCTGTACTTCGCTTCGTTCCTTAGATGCTTAACACTACTTTTGGCAAATATTTTACAATTCGGTCTTCTATAACGAAACTTCCTGTTTTCTTCGCTTCTACCTTCTCGCTTAGAATATACGTCGGTCAACGTCAACATGTGCTACGTAGAATGATCATGGTTATGTTTCTCTTTCTTCTTTCGTTTCCTTTAATATATTGTATATCTGGCTTATCGTAATCAATTCATTGTTGTTTTTGCTTAGAAACTATAAAACTTGCCATTCCTCCGAATGCTGCCCATACCGGCAAGCCATCAGGTGCCGGTAACATAAATTCAGCTAACACTGCTCAGCAATTTACAAACAAAGACCTGCACGGTAAATTTCGCTATTTTGAATACCTACTAGTAGCAATATAACTGTTAATATCATTTTGTGTAACTTTCGCCCTCTTTTTCGCCTCTTCAATCACTAAATCCTTTGGTAAACTTTGGCATACGAACCGGTCCGGCATCGTCTAACATTTATATTTTTTTACAGATATCATATTTAGAAAGAAGAGTTTTTGTGTTTTCTTTTTATTACAGCTTGAGGATTCAAGTAGGCTAAACAACTTAGTTGCCGTTGAAATTAGAGGAAATCTGCTTTATACAAACTTTGAAATGACTCATTCAAGGAGGCAAAACTTGTGCGGTTAATGATTTTTTTTTTATATTTTGAGACAGCTATCTCTTAACTTAAATTGCATAAAAATCACATATTCTTTTTCATCGTTATATAAATATAAAGTCAACTTCAATAAAATCTATGGAAATTTAACCTACCTTGGCTGTTTATACTTTGTCTAAAATTTCTCGTACTTTTAACGCTTAAAAAATTGTGCTCTCTGGTTCGTATTTCTTAATTTCCGTTTTCAAAACATTGTGACTGCAAACATGTGGTGTAGAATTTGTAAAACTATGAACAAAACAAACTAATGACATTGTTCGTTTTACTAATCTCAAAAGTGTCTGTTTTATGTTGCATCAGATAGAAGTGTCTTTGGTTGGGTCTATGAACCTTGTATAATATTATACAATGGAGAGAATATTTACTCAATTGTGCATCTATTTGCCATCATTTAGTTTTCAGTAGTTCCAAACAGGAATAATAGAAACTTTGTCGGTGCCTTAAGCAATCTTAATGATTTCAAATTTCTTCGATATCGTGAAACAGATCAACTTTGATCCCTGCGTGTATAACTTTGTCAAATGGTTTTGAACAACCACAAGCCAGACTTCAACAAAACGTTCATTTTCATGCTCTGTCACAAGGATAATTAGGAAAGGACAGATCCAAACACTTTGCTTCCAGAAGACTATCTAAAACGGAAGAAGGATGCCCAGTAGACTGATGCAAAATTTGAAATTTTCGCTCCACAGTGCTCAAACGGTTCCAAATTGGGCCCTGATTAGCCTTCCAAAATTTGATCTCATTTTGTGAGAAACTGACTTGGCACAAATCATTTGAAGTTTATATGGGAATTACTATGGAGAAATCATAATTTCGATTCATATCTATCACAAAATTCACCAGTTCACTCTACTTTAGAAAAAGATGACTGAGCATGCTCAGCTACAACTTTGTTGCAGACCAGTTTTCGATCAAATGTAAGGAACAAAAGTTATTAATGATTCAAGTCACTGAAGTCTTATGATTATGCTCAATCATCTGTTCAGCAGGCAACATTGATGTTTATGGCGCGTAGAATAGACGACAAAAATCATGGCTACTATGTAACACTGCAGAATACAGTGTTGCCCACAATACAGTTGCTTAATCTTGCCATAAGATTATCTATCTCTTAAACAATTAATAACTATTTAATGTGACGTTTGGCTGGAAAACGATTTTCTGCAAAGTTGTAGCTGATAAAAATTCCCATAAGAATAGCAATAGAAGTTGTTAACAGTACAACATGACAAAAGGCTAGAAGAAAATGAACAAAAAGTTTTGTTTTCCCATAGTAATTTCCATATAAACATCAAATGGTTTGTGCCAAGTCAATTTCTTATCAAATAAGTTTAAACTTTCGGAGGCTAATCAGGACCCGATTTGAAACCTTTTGAACATTGTGGAGCGAAAATTCCAAATTTTGCATCAGTCTAATGCCCAGTCCCTGAAGGGGAAATGCTAGCCATTTTTTGGGCGTTACAAACCTTTAGAAATGATGTGCATGATACGAAATTTGTCACCTAAAATGCAAATGCAAAGCTTAAGCGATGGAAGGAAACAATTACATTTACAAGCCAGGCAAAACGAACGTTGGCGCGGATGCTTTAAGCAGAATTGTGTGTTCCATGACAGGAACCTAGCAATAGCGATAACCTCTATATTGCGCTCGATGTATTCCGCAACCAGGTTATAAACAAAAAAGAACCTGATACTAAAAAACCACTTCAACTATTCTAGAATAAACGGTCTGTTCACGAAAATACAATGAGAAAGACCCAAGGGCGTAGCCAGGTTTCGAGTTAGGGAGGGGCGAAAGAAATACTATAGAAAATTTAGCCGAATGCCATTTCACCGCATGCCATTTCACCGAAAGCCTCTGTGTTGCGAGTTTAGGGGGGGTAGTTGCCCCCCCCCGTCCCCCTCTGGCTACGTCTATGGAAAGACCCAAGAAGGTACATATATAAGAAAAATGGTTGACAACAAAAACTGTTAACTATTCGGTTTACACAGAACATGCTTGAGGACGTGATGGAGGAGGACAAATAGTGGGACATCATCCGCACCGAACAAGATAGAGCACACAGAGGTGCACAAGAAAATAACCAATAGATATTTCGAAAATACTTTTTTCAAAAATTAAGCCAGAATGTGGGAGATTTTATTGTAAACTGTCAAATATGCACACGGCGAATGAGAACGACCCAAATTTGAGTTTAGTTCACTCATAATCGCCAAAAGTGCAGGAACGCAGCGATGAGTTAAATTTGTCTCATGGTTTCCTGTGGAAAACCTAAATCTGCCGGAAAATGGGGAAATTGACGAAAATTTTATTCAGTCTCGGAGTAGTACCAATAGACTGAGTGAATCCAATCTTTACTTTTCTCAAATTCAGGATTTTTTCCCAGGAAAAACCTGGAAAAACATTAGGCAAATTTACTCATCGCTGAGTTCCTGCACTTTTGGCGATTATGAAGTAAACTCAAATTTGGGTCGTTCTCATTCGCCGTGCAATGAATGTAAATATGACAGGAAACCGGCAATATGTCCTCTTCAAGAAACACCGATTTTTAAAGCTCCCTTCAAAATTGCACATATCGATATAAAGTTCCTAGAAAGCCTTCACTTTCTAACATATAACCACCGACAAACCGACATGAAACTAAAACTTAACTCTTGATCGAGAATCCATAACGGCGGATTCAAATGTGCAGCGATCCCATCTGTCAAAACCATAGAAATTTGTTATCTAGATAAAAATAATTTGCCCGGAATAGATTAGACACGAACCAACTCAAACATTTAGTATGTGTGTTCGTGGCTAGGATACACATTTTTCACGAACACGACGGCAGATGTCATTGGGCTTTGATCAGAAATTTGATGATATTTTGTATGATCATTCATGTCGGTTTGTCGGTGCTAACAGACCAGACGAGCAACATCAAAGCAGCGTTTATCGACAGATCAGCAGAAATCATCAGTCACGCCACCGAGCTTAGTCCAACACCACGAGCGAGCGACACCACCGCCCGACCAACCATTCGTGAAACTTCTTCAAAGTTCTTTAAACAAAAATAAAGATTTATGTCGGTAATTCTTTACTTTCAAGTTTCTTCGACTTCGATGAATATATTAGTTATGAAAAGGATTCCATGAGCCAATCTGAAGCTTTCATAAACATTCGACAGGGGAGCCGAGTTCCAGGACAAGACGCAACGAAACATATAAACACACGAAGGGACGACGCAAAGCTACCAGTAAGCAACATACGAAAGGACGACGTAACGCTACAAGTAAACAACACACGAAGGGACGATGCAACGCTACGAGTAAACACACGCAAGATGGAACCATATGGACTGGAACGGAATGACGCAACACCACTGAAGCCGGAGTGGTTAAAGCTATAGCTAGGACAGGGAAATAGGAAGGAAGTAGGATAAACAAGATAAATCTTTTAAATAGAAGTGAAATAGGAAATAAACATCATTCTTGGTTTATTGTCGAAAGCGATAACTTTGAGTTTGATACTTTTCATAAAACCCCCGAAACCCATTACTTAACTGGCGCAGTCGGCTTAGGCTTGCTTTTAGTTTCCGCGAGTGGAAGTTTCTTTGTGCTACGTGAGCGTTCGCGAACGAATATAGCGGATTTAGGAAGGAACCGGACGGAGCGAGGCACGGATCAACTCATCTTTAAAGCATCCCAATCGAGTGGAAATCGATCAGAGTTGTGCGAGGTGAGTCAATTTTAATGATTAACTAACTCTCATATTCCGACGAAAAGTAGACTAACTTGCAAAAGTGTAATAGTGAAAGTGCAATAGTGAAAGTGCAATAGTGAAAGTGCAATAGTGAAAGTGCAAGAAGTAGTTTAATTTTGTATGAGCAGGCAGCAAAAGTTCGATAAGAACAGAAAAATGAATCATTAAATTGCGTTGCAGCAGCGGCTTGAGGAAGCTGCCCGGCAACTTCATGAGCGAGATGCTCAAATAGCTCAATTACGTGAGCAGAATTTTGCATCGCAGCAAATTAATGCTCTGCAACAGCAGATGCAGGATTTGATGCGCGAAATGCAGAGTAGAGATGCACAAATTACTAATCTACAAGGACAAAGGCGTCAGCATAGTGTGATTGACCGTTGTATAAAAGATAATCAGATACCTGACACGATGACGCTGAATTATTGGCCACGTGGCTAGATTCGGTAGACAAAGTATTAACACTCTATGTCAACGTTCATCATACAGAGCCATATAAAATTTGGCTAAGCCAAATTAGAAACAAAATTACTGATAGAGCTAACAAAGCTCTTCTAAAAAACCACACTCCTCTAGTGTGGGTAGACATCAAAGAAACGTTAAAATCGTATTTCGGCGACAAGCGAGATCTATCCACGCTTACAGGAAAAATACCTTACATCAGACAAAAGGACAAAACCCTCGATGACTACTATCACGAGGTAGAGGGCCTATTTGCGGATATTAACGCAAATATTCATCTAGATCCAGACAATGCTGGTGTGGTGCGACAGCCTTTTCCCACGTTTCAATTCTTCCAACATATGTTTGCAATACACTTCTTGGTGCCAATCGATAAATCATTGACACCCCACAAAGTGCATCGCACCAAGTTAAGAACGTAAGCAAAGAGTCAGATTACAGACCGACTTGCTAGCCCGATGGACCACCGTGCGACCAGAACCACTTTACACACATGTATCATTCTTACTATGTAATATGTTCTATCAAGGGAACCAGAGCTAGAGAAGTAACAATAGGACGAAGAACGAAAACAGGATGAAGGAATCACGACCAGGCCGAATATCGGTCTAGTATCAGTTTGACTAGTAGTTTGTACGCAGGTGTGGTGACCGGATGTGAAGAAGTGATGACCCCGTAGGTCGGAGAAAACAGGAAAGGGATAACAAGTGAGCGGAAGCCAGGAACAGCAGCGACCGTTTTTCGACTACCGGAAAGACGCAACGTACTTAATTACAAAGGAGCTGTAGAAACATCAACAACGCAGTGAAGAAAGTTGCGGCTGCGGGAGAAAGTATACAGAAAGGGAAAAGACCCTCAATTTGTTTCCTAAAAAATCTTTGCGTTAATCGACTCCGTAGAGTTTTATAAACATTTGAGCCTAAACAAATAAACGAATTGATAAAAAATATCAAATCGGAGTAATTGAAACAGGAAGTTTGGTTGACTTTGAGGTGAGCCTCAAAGGCGTTAAATTCAAAAATGTTCCTTTCTTAGGGATGATCTTCATAGATTTTGTAGAACTTTACCGAATTTCTAAGAGTAATTAGGAGGAATTATAGGAGAAGCGCAGAGAACTCCTAGCGAATGTTTGAAGGACTTCTAGAGAAAGTCCAGGGTACGGAAATTAAACGTCTATTCTACGAAGAGTTTACTGATCTTACAAGTCTATAAAACTTCTTGTGAAGCTTCCAAGTAATATATTTCGCACATCCTTCCTTAGTCTCCCGAAATTTCTCCGAAATTTCCTCGACAGATCATGACTTGTCTATCAATATCAAATGACATAGACGTTAACAGACACCCCTATTAATTTTTTTTATCGAAACGGATGTTCCATACAAACAAAAATTTGTATGAGAAATCCGTTTCGATTGAAATTGGAAATAGGGATGTGAATATAGACAACACGTTTTTTTTTTGTAAAACTATAGTTCGGTTCCCAACCAAATCACTATCCACCTGGCTTATCAATCTAAACGGACCGAAAACAGGCCTGTAGCAGCAAACGACGTTTCAAAATTTAAAAACTAGAGAAATAGCCCTACTACAACTGTACAAACCAAAATAAAAATAAGCTGCCATCTTACCAGCCTCCGTCCTAATCGCTGACCGAGTTGCTTTGCCGGATCAATGGCGTAACGGTGGAGTTGTGTCGTGTCTTTCGTGATCCTTCGCTGTCCAGCTCCGATGACGGTGTGATCGAGTTGCTCAGGGCAAATGTCTTGTTGAAATCGATCGTGGCATAACCGAGGGATGCCTTCTTTGGACTCTCCGGTGGTAGCAGAGCAGCGCCACCGGTTACATTAGGGCCACCCTGCGACAATGGTCCCCTTTCTACGATGGAGGAATCGTTCGGATTGTTTAGATTCACAGCCGCCGGATTATTGTTATTGTTGGCAGTCATCAAAGCACTGCCACCCGTCGTCGGTGAGGTGACCGTCGTTGCCGTAGACGTGTTTTGCGACTTGTCCAGATCCAGTACGATGTAGTTAACTTCCCCTCTGGCAGCGTTCGGTGTGCAAGGCTCGGGATTGTCTAGCGGAAGATCCACGTTGGCAAAAATATCCGGCTTTGAGTAACGACCTCGTAGTAATACAGATTTAAGCTCTCCAGGTTCCAGGTTCTCGTATAACGGTTGCGTTGGATCTATGGAATAGCTCGAGTTCATCCGCAAATGAGCAAACATGTTCGGACCGATCGAGGTTGGTGTTTTCACGTTTTGATACTGGTTCTCATCGAAAGAACCGGTATTGTTGTTGATAGAAATTAGACTAGAATTACTTTTACTGGCTGGTTTCGTTTTTGCTTTTGAAACACTCTCCGGCATGCAGGCAATGTTCACATTCATATACATTCGCGAGGGATCAGTAGCATCTGGCGTTGTTACCGGAAGCTCTAGTGGAAGCGGGTTGAGATCGGGTTTACTAGTACAGGAACTAGATTCGCCGTCAGCAATTGGTGCCGCTTCCTGAGGTGGGATATCCAAGGACATACGATTCACAGCACTGATACTTGCCAAGCTAACACCGTGGCCAGCTTCTTTCACCGGAAATTCCTGATATAAATTACTAACCCCGTGATGAGTACTGCCTACTACACTATTCGATGGCAAAGGATTCAGTGTTGTTACCTCTAATATGTTACTAACACTATTGGGCGATCCCGGTGATGTTACATCAGGACTAACAGGACCACTACTGACAGAGCTTAATCGCAAACCCTGTTGAAAACGCGTCGTTATCGTTTCCGGCTGCCCACAAGGTCTGTTAGGAGTTGGTTCCAAATAATTTGCCTCTATTGGAAGAGTATCCGTGCTTCGACTTTGGTTCGAATTCGAATGGATAGTTCCGTTGGGACTTAGGGATTGACTAGTGGCCATTCCGGCACGGTTTACTACATAACTGCCCGTTCCGGTTCCACCCGGCTGCCCACTTCTGGTCGCCGTATTATTCTGTGAAACACTCCTACCGGCTACTGATGGACCAGTCGAGGCCATCGGAATCGGATGTGGATCATTCGGGTTTGTCGTCTCATCGCTGAATATCCGCCCCTGAATGTAGGACTGTACCGTGTAGAATAGCGTTTCCGCTCGTCTACACTTGAAGGCATAGATTCCTTCCCCCGTCGTACACCTCCGTCCTGCTTCGAAACTAAACTGATCCACATTAAAGCCATACCTGCGTAAACACTTTAGTGGCCACGTCGTTGGATCCTTCCCTTTCCGGTACAACGTTAGCTCCGTTCGTGACACTTCCAGTTGGCCACTCCACAAAGCGGTGCCGTCATCGTCGATGTTGATTACATAGAATATGTTGGGATCCACATCGTTGATATCTTTTTTCGAGTTGATACACCCCATCCTGAGAGCCACCAGCAATTTAATCAGGAATTCAAATCATTTTGCGTCGAATTAGATCCAGCAAAACATTCCTATGTAGGTATTTCAACAGCAACAGCAAGAGCACCAGGATCTTCCCTTCCCGAGGTTTATGATGGCTCGTCTCCTACACGTACACGATGAACGGCACCATTTCGACCGAAATATAGACCATTTTTCAACGGCACTTGAATTTGGACACACTTTTCAACTATTTTCAACCTTTTCGAGAAGGTTTTCAAGCAATTTTTCGATAATTTATCGAAGGTTGATGAAACGGAAAATTTTATTTTTATGAATTTTCTACTATTTTTTACAAAGTTTTCTTCTTAGCCTTCTTCAAGGTACATCACCTATCAAAAATTGACAAACTTGCACCCAACCCCATGTTGCGTTCAAGTTGTACTAAACGCGGCTCGTTTACACGGTTTACACCTCGGTTAACACGCTCCCGAGTCGTACCTATTTATGGGTACCTACCCATCAGACTGAAGCTCACTGGCGCCAATGACGTTTATATAAGGTCTGGGCCAAAGGGCTTATTGGTGTTAGTGAAATGTGCAAATTCTTAGTGATGTTCGTATTTTATTGCAATGTTTATCTTTTTACACGAAACAGCTGTTGGCAGTGACGTATTTCTATCAGCTGTTCTCAGTATGTTGGAAGTGACGTATTTCTTTCGCAGATGCTCAGCAATGTTTACAGCATTTTTTCTTCTAACACCAGCAAAGTGCCTGGTGGCCCAGACCTTATATAAATTTTATTGCACTGGCGCTCCCCTAATAAAAAATTACCATATACACAGCAAAAAAAAATGTAATATCGATCAACGTAATTCAAGCTGATGTATGAAATAATGATGTAATAGCAAAAAGCAGATACAATATTACATCAATGGATGTAATTTTGTTCGCAAAATCGATGTACATCGTACAATGTGATATTACACAACCGATGGATTGACCTGGTTGCATCAGTTTCGATGTAATATTCAACAACTTTTTTTGCTGTGTATGGAGATTGCTAAAGTACGATTGTGTCAGTGTCAGTTTTCATCGGGAAAATTTTCCGCAATGAAGTTTTTCCCGACGAAAACATTTTGCGTATACGTATACATACGTGACGTAGTGTGCGTACGATAAACGTCAGCAATCTCTATAAACTAATAACCCAAATGATTAAAATATTCCACAAATTGTTTGGATGATACCCCGAATACGTCGTTAAGCAAATTAACCATGACATTTTTATTATGGTCGTCATTTTTGTTCACTGGTGCCCCTGGTTTTAGTCTATCGATCGCACAGCGCTCATAGAGTTCTCCAGATTCACAAAAGTGTGCGCGAGGCCGCGCGCTACCTTTTGAAGTAGTTGTGATATCACAATACCTTTTTGGTTCTTCTTCTTCTTCTTCTTCTTAATTTTTATATATGGTTGTTGGATTTTAGTGTTCGTGAGATTACGCTTGGAGATCTCTATCCAGCTTTCCATGCTCGGTAATGGCGGCCTGTTTGTATGAATAAATGTATCCTTCACTGTGCTTTTTGACACTATCTGGATGTTCGAATTTCAACCCCTTCCCTTTCCCTCTCCCAGGAACAGTAGAAAATGGAACAACATACGCCCTCCAGTTAGTTTCAAAAAGCACAGTGAAGGATACATTTATTCATACAAACAGGCCGCCATTACCGAGCATGGAAAGCTGGATAGAGTTCTCTACCACCGTTAGTATTAGTGAGCAGTTTCACTAATAAATGCACTAATATACTGCCGACCCTCGCATAACTGTCCCATATGAATTTTCATCATTTTTGAGTTAACCTTGAGAATGGTGTATATTTTCGTGGAACTTTAATAAATAACACTGAAAATTACATCTTTATATGGGCAAAACATAAAAAAAAATACCAAACTAGGTCAGTCCCATATTGAAAGTACCCGCATAACAGTCCCATTTGTCACATAAAAATAGATTGAAGTAAATTTTCATTTGTTAAGGATTGCACAGTCACGTATCGTGATTTTAATATTTTTTATTGTTAATGAACTATAAAAAATATTCCGAGTTAGTATAAAGTGCGTGTATTTGATCAAATTTCACTTAACTATGCTTAATTTGCCTTAACGGTTAAACGTTCCCAGAACAACTTTTGCTCCTTTGCGATGAGACGCAACATTACATTAAGGAGCGTGTCCTTACGAGAGGCATCCAGTCCAGCAGGATTTTCTTGGATTTTTAAAGAGTTTTCCAAAATAAATCCTTCAGCGGTGGCCAGCTTCTGCCGCCATGAAAGTATGGTCAGACTCAAAAAATTTGAGGACTATTTCGTTCGTCTGAATTGATGGGGAGTTGACCAACAATATCAAATGAAGAAATAGTCCCCAATTTTTGTTTTGAACGGGGCAGTTATCAAGCCAAAATGTTATTTTCGAAGATTGGCCAAATGGTTGATGACTCGATGAAAACAGCCGATAATGTCGTTTGCTGACCTGCCTACTACAGCTTCATGCCACAGGCACACTAATACTGCGTTGGACTTGGCATAGTTCCCAACTGGAGCGAACGTTTCGTCTTGAAACCTTCAAGTCGGGGTAACTGAATGACCTAAAACGAATATTTTGAAAAAAAAAGCTCTTATATTATTGGAAAATTTTACCTTCTGAAGGTCCACAGCTAGCACTAATTCGTCTGGTTCAACTTGGTCGCCATCTGCGCGATACTGATCACGCGATTCCTTGGCGAGCCTCATGTGCTCTTCATGCTTCGCACAAACAGAGCAGCCACGTCTTCCATCTTCAGTTTTGTGTCCCAACAAATTCTGATGTTGCCTAGCAGCAACGCATGCTTCACATGCCTCGTGCCCGAGTTTAACAATAGAAATGTTTAGCTCTTTCACGACTCTGCAAAAGAATGTGTAGCTCACTTTCATTTCAGGGTGCGCTTCTTGGTACTCTTGGTACATTTGTTGCTCCGTTATATCCGTTGGTAGATAAAGCCTGTTTGGTGCATGTTCACGACGATAGTGTGAAATCGTCGGATTGTACAAGAATACATGAGCTTTTACAGCATTCTTGCGATCAGTGCTTCTTGAGTATTTTCCTTGCATTTTCTGGTTAGCAGATATGTTGTCCTCATCAGAAGGAAGGCACAGATAGATTATATTTCTGGAAATAAATACAATATAAATGTTTAAATGATCTTTTAATAAATAGCTTATATTTCTTACCCGCAATGTTCTCCGTAGCCAATGATATTGAGAAAAAATTTCCGGCAAACACGCACGACTCGATTGTCGGCCATTTCAAGCGAGAAAGTATACGAATGCAGTTTACGGGGTTCCTTGAAATCGTGACGGTGTGTACTTCTCCTTTTAACAGCAACGTGATCCACCCTTTCGCGAAAAAATGCAGTCTGTCTAGCGATATTTAATTTCCAAAACGCACGCTGAATGTGGGTTCGGTCGTCCTTGGAAACATTGTCCGGACAACCTTTTCGGCAACCACAAGGTACAAGCATAGAGGTAACTCTAAGACTAGAAGGTCCCGAAATAACGTGCTCAACTTTTTGGCTCAGCTCTGGTACTCTCTTCGGTCCCAAGCTAATCGATTCACCCCTCGAAACATAGGAAAAACGAATAACCCCTCATTTCATCTGTCAAACTTTCATAGCGAATCAAAACAAACATTGCGTAGTACTAGAATTTCTACTAGAATGGGATACGTTAATCATTTGCTTGGGACCAATAGGCTAGTCAAGTAGTGAGCCAATTTAAAATCGTTAGTTTCGTATTGATTGTTGGTACAAGTTTCGGTGGATGAGAAGTGCGACGTTTTTTTTCCACAACAGCTTTACGTTGTTCTTTTTTCGTTCTTTTACGATTTTTTCTGCGCTGTTCGACAAAATAGCTTCCTTCCGAAAAGATGCTTTCACTGGTCACAGAATCCTTTGCAGAGTTGCTGTTATCACCGATAGCTTTATCGTCATCAATCTGACCAACAGCTTGCTCATCTTCAATATTTGGACGAGTTAAAAACAAAGTAGCAGTGCGGGAAACTTCCGAGTACTGCTCCGATTTGTTGTTCCAGTCAAATCCATAGAATTCGTCTTCTGAACTCTCACTGTCACCACCGTATATTTTAATTGCTTCAAGAGCTGACATTTTTACCTAACTGTAAATAACTTATCAAGCAACGCGAAAAGTACTAATCCAATGCTAATTTCGAAATGCACTTCTTACATCTGAGGTAAACAACTCAAGCGATAGTGTGCAATGGGACTGGTATGCGAGTACTTTTGCGCTCGTCAACGAAAGTACTCGCATACCAGTCCCATATGATTTCGGCTCATTTTTCTCGTGATAAACAAAAGTGTTAATTATATTTTAGTTACACACGATATTGTTATGTTGTAATGCAACTAATTTCGGCAGTGGTGCTGTACTTGATAATTAGAATCAAGGAGAAAACAACAAATTATATAAATATGCAAAGTTGTCTTTTTCTCAACATGGCGATTTTTCAAATGGGACTGACATGCGGGTATGGGCAGTATACTGGTTGAAAATTAAAAGTCGTGGTCGAGTCGACCACTTTGACAGCTTATTTCGTGGTTGAAAATAATAAACAAATCGATTTTACACGGCTACACTAGCAAGGTTGTATTAGTGAGATCTTACGGCGAGAAGTCAATGGTGTGGCGACAAATCAAACATACCCCGCATAAACGCGAACCACACGCAGAAAAAACTATCATCGTAACAAAAATATTTGAGGTAAATTTAAACGTAAACTCAGTTTGTTCTGGCCACAAACATAAGTTAGGTTGATTTCAAACGTATTCCATGTTTGAAGTTATGTGAAATCAATGTTCAAAATAAAAATAATGCTACGTTTATTTCAAAAATATTCGTGTTAAAAATAAACGTATTTATTTTTGTTTGGTTTGACAGCTATGCGAACAATAATAAATATGGTTATTTGAAACATGCTTCTCATGTTTAAAATAAACATACATATTTTGGAATTATTTTAGCAGTTGAGTGCAGGGCAAAGCAAAATAAAACGGTTTGCTAAGAAATGAAAAAAAAATCTTCAGGCAAGGCATCTTAAAGTCCCAAACGCAATGCGGGCGGAAGCGGAACGGAAACGGAAAGTTTGACAGTTGTCACAAATGACATCAAGATACCTAACCGAAGTCGATTTGGTTCTAACTAGTTTTCAATCCGACAAGTAGGCTTACTCAGATCGGGCTTTTCCGCTGCCGCTGCCGTTCCGCTTCCGCTGTCATTGCGCTTGGGCCTTAATTCCTGCTCTTTTCGGGTGCGATTAAGGGTTACCTGTGGGTATTGGGGTCGTGGTCCGGGATGCGAGGACCCATCGGGGTAGGTGTCCGGGGGTTCCAGTTCAGTGGAACCGGTGCAAATTTGTGTTATTAGCGTCGTTTTGCCGTTTCTGCCTCGGTTTCTGCCATACCGGTTTCTTTCCATGTTCGGTATCAGAGGAGGATCCTGAATGGATTCGGAATGGATGGCCGTTTTCTGTTGAGGTTGAGCAAAGCTGGGGCAAACTTGTTCCAAATGTAACAAGAAGGAAATAAAAAGGCATGAAAACCCGTTTACTTTATTCCTATATTGTTGAAATAAACATGCTTTTGACATGAATATTTTAGTTTTAAACATGCTTTCAATTTACTTTGAATAATTCATAGTAATTCGAGTATAAACATTTATATTTTTGTTTTGAATGAACAAAATTCGTATCCGTGCATAACTTGACCTTACCGAAAATGGTTAAAAATTGTTTATAATCCCTGCTAAACTTTAACTGAATTGGTTATGGAAATTAACATGAACGATAATTTTAATTCTTGCAAATAAATTAATACAATTACAATTTTGAAACAATGATAGTAAACAACCCAAACAACCAACTACAGACAAACAGACGTACACTAGTAAAATTTCAAATATTGTATTTATGTGTCCCACACATGATTTTTTGCAATGTGATCTACAAATGATATCTATGTGTCGAACACATACTTAATATGTGTACACATAAAAGCCATGTGTAACCACACATACTATTCATTTGACTCATATATTTCATGTGTGCTTCTGGGTAGATTCAGTTTATGTGTTGTCACATGAAAATCATGTGGAATTTCACATGGAAATTCGTCAATAAAATGTGTAGAATTTTATTAGTGTAAGTCATTGAAAAAGTTTTTCTTGGAAAATGGTTAAAAATTGTTTATAATCCCTGCTAAACTTTAACTGAAATGGTTATGGAACTTTACATGAACGTTTGTGTGATGATAATTTTAATTCTTGCAAATAAATGAATACAATTACAATTTTGAAACAATGATAGTAAACAACCTAGTTTTTCTTGGAAACATTGTACCTAACAAATAATACCTCAGTGACGACATCTGTTCGAACTTCTCGCGGAAAACAAGCTAGCTCGCTACCCTAATAAAAATTGTATGGTTAATTTGCTTAACGACGTGTTCTGGGTATCATCCAAACCATTTATGGAATAGTTCAATAATTTGGGTTATCGTTCGTTTATGGTTATTTTTTATTAGGGTCCCGCATAAACAATAACCATAAGAAGCGCCTATCCACCAATTCGGGATCTCGTTGGGGATATCATCCCAACTTTATGTGGGATAGTCGTACCATCTATGATATCGTTAGAGTATGATACCCGTTTATTAGGGGTAAGTCACAAACAATTTTGTATGCAAGGTAAAGAGAATATACAGAAACGTCCAAACGTCGCTTGATTTACGTTGATCAATTTTACATTTTTTTTTGCTGTGTAGTTAGCGGAAATGATAATATTCAAATCAGTCGTTAAATGCGTGAACGATGATCCAGCATGAAGAGCTACGTCTGTTTGTCGGTGAATCAACACAGCAAAAAAATGTAATATTGTGTGTGGCAAGATAATTTCTCAAAAAGGGATTATACCATCTGTTTTCTGTTTATGGCCGTACGACTGCGCTTATTGATTTAACACACGGTGATTCTTTATCCAGGATTCGCTCCTCAAGCCACTGCCATAAAATACTATCAAAGTTACACACCTGTGTATAATCCTTATGGGCACCCTATCACGCTTATGAGCGGCGCGCTTCGACCGTAACCAAATGAGAATTTAACATAAGCGCGACAATAGAGTTCTCTGCCACCGTTAGTATTAGCAACAATCAATACGAAACTAACGATTTTAAATTGGCTCACCACTTTAGTAGCCTATTGGTCCCAAGCAAACGATTAACGTACCCTATTCTTGTTGAAATTCTATTACTACACTATGTTTGTTTTGATTCGCTATGAAAGTTTGACAGATAACATCAGGGGTGTGTGGATTCATGCAGAACATGCAGGGGTGAGTGAAATAGCTTGGGACTGCTTAATAATGATTTTCTTCGGGACCCAGTGGTTACCTCTATGGTATTAGTGAGAAGATTCACTATTGCATGCATTTTACTGGTTGAAAATAAAAAACAAACCGCTGTCAAGTCGAACACTTTGACAGCTGATTTCGTGGTTGAAAATAATAAACAAATCGATTTTGCACGGATACTCTAGCTAGGTTGTATTAGTGAGATCTTGCATCGAGAAGTCAATATCAATCAACGTTATTCAAGCTGATGTAATAGCAAAAACCATGTACAATATTACATCAATGGATGTAAGTTTGTTCGCAAAATACATATAAAAATGGAAATGATAGTTACGTCTGTTTGTCTGTGTGAGTACACACAAACCCAGATCCTCTTATTGATATTATTATCCTAGGATTAAATTCCAATCAAGACTGTCCAGCTGCTTTAATGTCGACATCAGAGTTAATCAAAACGACTCTAAGCAAACACTTAGCAGATCATCTAAACAGGGACGGTATTAAAAGTCAATCCGAGTTGCAGCTTACGTTATAACTGCTCCTATAGTTCGACCCTGATAGTTTAGTACAACGCAAATGTGTACTACAGTTTCATCAACACTAGTTTGACATCTGGAAGAAATTGAATCACTTTTGTTTTGATAACGTAGCGAAATGGAATAACACAGCAGCAGATTGGTGATAGTGACTGAAAATATTATTTTGAGCAGAAAATCAATAATCAATCAGTGCATTTTTTCACGGGCTGTCTGTGTCGTATTTCAGGGAATGTGAATTCGTTTTTCAGTGGTTGTTAAATTTTGGCGAGTGTACTTTTGACCTACTTGTTTGTTCCCCGTCCTGGCAGTGTGTGTAATGTGTAATAATGGAGCAGGTTGAACTTCTAAATGGATCCAGCTACGGTTCGGGGGAGGATCAGAATAAATCACTGACCTCGATCGAAGCTGATCGGAGCTTCGAAGAATATTGTGACGAAAACAACAGGCTGATTGAACTGAAGGACGATCCTGCGGAAGAGGTGGAAGAAATTGGCAGTTTAGTGGAGTCTCAACCATCCGGAAAGAACATTGCTTTTGTCCAGCCGAACAATCATCGCAGGTCCGATGAACCGACGGAACTTAGCTTTGAAAAGTGTATGTTAGAATGGCACGTTCAATAGTTTGAGTTCCTTTATATCAGTAAGTTTTATTGTTTCCAGTTCCAGAAAACCACGAAGAAAAGCTTAAGCGCATTCAAATCGAAAACGCCTTGGACGATACCAACACCACACAAGATGAATGGAGGAAGTTTGCGAAATCCGAGTACGGACTCATTAATGGTGAGTACATTGTTTATTGGTGCTTTTTGGTGTGGCATCGAAATTGTGTTCTGAAGGACGTTTCATTCTCTGCTCGCTTCCACATTTCGGTTCGATGGACCAAGCAAGGGCAAGAGGAGCATTAGTTATTGCATTGGGTACGTTGCAGTTGCATGTCTCTTCGGTGAAAGTAAATTTAGCTATCCTTTTGCTGTTTAGTATACTCTCTGCTGAGTGCTGATTCGCAATTCGAATTAAAGTGAAGTAGTGCTCAGTCAAAAGAAACGAAAGGCTGCTCAATGCATTATTAAATTACAACTCTATAACAACGATTTTTCGGTGAACTGATGCGAGACGGCCCATAAGCAGCATTACACAATTTAATAGCCATCGTTATCAAAACAAAAATGGATCAGTCACACAGTGAAGTAGCGTTTTCACGATGTATTGGAATGCTATACTGCAAATGAAAAAGTAGTATACACTAGACAGCACATTTTTCTGTTTTGATGTCATTTCAAAAATTTATAGCGAATTTGTTTGTGTGAAATCGAACTTTTTGTCAGTGCGAACCTCAACCTGAGGTAGGTTTTAAAAACAAGCAATCAAACTGACGTTTGTTAGAAAACAAGCAGAGCCGATCTTGATACCCGATCCAGGTTGGAACTGAATAATAAAAAAATCCCTAAGGATGTATGGCTAGGAGCTGCTAAGCCAACATTTTTCTATTGCTGCAGAACAAACACATGCTTTTTGAGCTCAGGAAATAGTTTCATACAACACGTATGGTATTCATAGCATGCTTATTAAAATTACATGAATCAAAATTCATTCCCATACCAGGGTGTCCATCCAACCGGGAAATCCGGGAAAAAACTGGGAATTCGGATTTACCGGGAAAAATGCGGGAAAACCCAAATTGCACCGGTAAAGATCACATATACTCATCCTAAGTAACAATTTTGATTTTATATCAGTCTTGTAGGCCATTATTTGGTCTTGAAGAATCCTTGAAATCAATCAACTTTATATCACATACACCATTATATTCTCTTGCTTACAAGTTTCATATTATTCTTTTCTCTCACTCGCAATTTGTTCCGCCCGGATCAAGCGGTGATTTAATCGTTGCTACGATAGCTAAATTTATAGAATTCGATATGGTGTCATTGGAATGCATATGGTGTCATTGCTTATTAAACATTAATTTCTGCACTGTGTGCTGACATCTTTGAATACCGAGGTTAGTCTGTAAAACAAGAAGATCTGAATCCATACCTCTCACTCCAAAATCATGAGTTCAAATCTCTCCCTGATAAAGCACGAATGATCCGAGAGTGTGAAAATTACTATAAATAAAAAAATCTTCCCATGAAATTTTGCTAAGTATTCTCAAATCATCCGCTGTAAAGATTCTTTTAAGCTTATTTCAAAAATCATTATTGGGATTTCGTTGGATTTCTCTTCTCAATTCCAATCCCCAATTGAGAATAACATATTTTGACCTTACTACATATCACGTACTGTATTCTTTGGGGTCATCAGTTAAGCGGAATAATAATCTATGCTTCAAGTTTGGGTTTTATCATGCGATAAAACTTGTGATGGTACTTGGGGTATTTTACCATATTTAGCTGTTTTAATTAAACTGGGAAAACTAGGCTAGACAACTGAAAAAAAAAACAAAACAACAGCCTTTAAAATTCTTAAATAGAATAGCCAGAGTATTTGCTTCAAGTCCGTTATCTTCAAGAAAAATTAGGATATACAATTTTTTCCATTGTATATGATCTCGAGATATCACAAATTTTCTGAGGTTTCGAAAAAATAAACTCTGGTTCCGATATCTCTTCGGCAACTTGAAAGTTTTCCAAGCCTAATATGCTGAAAAATGGTCTAGGAAACTTTCCAAGCGCTAGAGATTTTTTCAAAGACCTGAATTTTGATTAATCTTTGAAAGCCGGAAGCTTTAGTATCGGAAAACATCGATAAATCATGTAGCAGAAACTTCTTTCTTTTCAGAAGTTCTTTTCCAAGCGTATCAAATTGTATTTTCTACAAGTCAGGAATCAACAAATTTCCAATCCCAGATTTAAGATAAATTATGTGAAATCTTTTCTATACTTTAAAAACATTACATATTTCTCGAGCTGTTAACATATTCTTACATACCGTAAATTATTCTACCCTTTCTAAATTTGTTTAAATTAAAGATCGCGAATTACTAAGTACCAGCATTAAAAAAAAATGTCCAATATCTCTAAAATGTATATCAGAATCTTACAACTTTTCGATATCGAGATTTTTCGAGAAAATTTTCCCCGTTCCAGAACATGAAAATTTGTCTATGTTCGAAGTTTTACAGAAGTTTCTATATTCGAGAATGTGAATAACAATAACGATGTGAATAACAACAACGATAATACGGATGAAAAATAAGAAAGAGAAATATTATTACATTATTTTGAATAATTATTTCATTACTTTATTTTCATCGCCCAAATCTACTACAGAACCATTCATCGTTTCTTCATCCATATTCCTCCTGAATCAGAGACCTTGACTTATATTTGTTTTATATTACCGGCAATACTGGTCCACTTGATATTTAGAAATACTTACTACAGAAAATTAAAGTTGAAAGTACTGCGCACTATTCGCACAATCTTGTGCTCTATTTCTCTATTATATCTCTACTATATTGTTTGAATATGAATAAATGAATGTTTGATTTACTTACGATCTGCTATCCATGGCGATGTCTTGTGAGAACCTCTTCGACGTTTTGTGAATTCAATAAGTGGGGTCTCCTTATATCAAAAGACACAATCCACTTGTCCAGAACTGTGCTCCACGGACAAGAATTCTGTTCTAGCCACAGTATCGCTTCTTCTGCCACCGGATCTTTAGTACCGAATGGGTCAACTTTTGCTCTTATTGAACAGGTAGAAAAATAGTTTATCTAGTTCCTTGACACATTCCTTAGCAATGTCTTTAAAATATTGCGAGCTTCGCTTCCGCTGCTTTGACGTAGATGGAAAAATATCTTACTCACTGGCCATTTTACAAGTTTCACAGTGATTACCGCGAATAAACAATAATTAATGAACTCTTCCAAACAAAAACTAATAAGGCTGTCCACGAGACAGTTGCGAACAGCTGACTTTTTTGTTTACCAAGAACTTTTGACAGATCACAGTAGAACTGACAGTTCACCCTCATATGAATTTCTGCTTTGTTTATGTTTACATTCAGCACCATTAACACCAGATCACTCACACACTTTTGATTTCTAGCTGTCAGTTCCACTGAGAAACGTCGAGCGAGCAAGCTTGTTTTCCGCGAGAAGCCCGAGAAATGTCGTTACTGAGGCCCTATGCAGAGGTGGCAACAGTACATTTTTTGAAAAACCATCGTCCAGACCGAAACAAAACAGCCAGCACACGGGCGACCGTGTATAACTACATTCCAAGCGAACAGCGGAGATAGAGAATAAATAAAATCTCGCAGCCTGATTTTTCCAAACTGTTTATTGTAATGAAATTTTAGCTGCAGGCTTGCGTGTGACAGTAAATTACCAACTCCCTTATTTACGCATAATTTTAACATCAATGCTTATGAGTGGTCAGTCTTCATTCTTATCTTTTAATTCCATGCAATAAACATCAAATAAATGCAGTAATTAGCCAGAAATCAGCAAAATTCTACACGACATAAATTTATGTCGCGCGCGCCGCCGGTCTTGTCTGCTTATTTGTGCGAAAATGTTCTGTCGCTGGCAGAAAACAGTTTAGAAATGTCATGACATTTTTGCCGCTTGCCAGTTTGTTTTTGTGTGTCGTCACAATGGTTATCGCAAAAAGTATCAAATGTTAAGGAAAAAATGTTAAACTCCAGGACTTGTGCCACCACTGGCCCTATGTTTTGAAATACTATGTTTCCAAGAAAAACTTTTTCAAAGAGTTACGTCTGTTTGTCTGTGACCATACACTAACGATATCATAGATGATACGATCATACCACATAAAGTTGGGATGGTATCGCGAATTGGTTGTTGGGCACTTTTTATGGCTATTGTTTATGCGGGCTGCCGTACACCGAAATAATTTAGGGTGTAGATGTAGGATGCACCTTTGTTTACAAACAAATGATGTTGAGCTGTCAAAGACTCGCGCTTATTCCTGCTTACACTACACCGGTGCTACAACGCAAAAACGAAAACGACATATGTCAGAGCGCATGTAGGTAGAGAACTACTTCGGCCTAATCGCCCATTTTGGGCCTATCGTGCAGAAAATACAAATTAATTCCATGATTTCAGAGTTAACAAAGTCAATTATGAGTTTGGTACGATACTTTAGTTAATAAGCTACCGAACAAAATCAATGAGAACGCGTGATATGAAGGTTTGCACCCATAATTCACAAAAACAAAAGAAGCGCTCCGACCGAATCAATTTTTATCTTCATCCGATAGGGGAAAAGTTGGCTTCGGCAATACCTTAACCTATTATCGTCAGGGGGGTAAACAAAGTCCTAGAGCACTCAAATTTGGCCAATAGTTGCTCTGAAACACAATGTATCCACATGCTAAAATTGAGCTCTCAAGGACGTTGTTTACCCCCCTGACGATAATAGGTTAAGGTATTGCCGAAGAAAATTTTTCCCCTAGGCCATAGTGAATTCATTTGCGTTTCAATGGCGTTTCAATGCGTTAGGCCGAGTTTAGAATCCGTAGGCCGAGTTTGGCGTCAAGAAGCAGTGTTATACTTTTGACAATATCTCAACGATTGGTTTCTCATTATCAAATATTACGGTACAAACGGAAAAGTAAATAAATTTGGAAGCCATCAGTAATAATAACATTCCGTTTGGTGCTAAACTGCGCTAGATTAAGAAAGACTAAGTGCGGGTTGTGCTTAATATGCCGAAAATGGGGTAGTTAACCCTATGTGCCGTGTGAATAAAAAGAGTTGACTTTACTTTCCCGTGCTTTTCTTACGGGAAAAGTAAAATAAACGC